TCGGTTCCATCGCCATCTTTAGATGAACTGGTAGTTGTGTCTTGGTGCTCTTCATCTGTTAAAGGACAAGCTCCCGCAGCTTTCCCACTGCTGACACAGGCCTGAGCGATGCCAGGGCTCGGCCGAGGTGCTCTGGTCCCCTCCCCGGATAGAGAGGAGTCTTCTTCTGCTCTTCGCTCTCCGACTCCAGTTCGATCAGAGGCCAAACCTGATCCTTTTCTGAGTGTCCGTTTCCCCTTTCTTTTTTGCGTCGCCTTTTGTCCATTGTCTTTCACTGTGACCTTCGCATGTCCCGTGCCGTATTCCACGTGAACCACCACGGTGTCAGGACTTGTCTTGTTCTTCGCCGTTACACGGATCGCCAGTTTACGGCCACCGAGCGTCACACACTTTTCCAGGAGCACGCAAGGCCCGCGTTCTGCATCCTCGCTGGTCGCTGCCCGGCTGTCCATCGCCGCCACGCGCTGACGGTAGGCGGACATAGGACTCCTGGTGAGCGGAGCGTCAACGTCCCACACCTTCTGTAGACAAAGGTCCCCTGACGAGAGGGGCACCAACGTTCAACACCTTCTGTAGAGACAGGACCACTGGTGAACAGGGACCTCAACACCTCCCGACAGACGCACGACACCTGGCGAACAGGGCACCAACACCCACGTTGGACACAGAATGGCCCCACCCAAGCTCGGTCGTCCTTATCCGTCGGCGTATCGGCTCGGGCTATCGGTGCTGTGGGCAGTGCAAACTGCAAATATACAGATAAGCGATAGCGCCTCTTACGGATAGAGCAGATCCATTACAAACACAATTTGCAAAGTCATGTGTGGTCATGTGGTGGTTGCACGAGTATCTTGTGGGGTGGGTTCAGCGATCAAAGATGAGTTAATTGCTATACAATAGATAACATAAACTACAGGCAGTTTATGCTATATATGGTTATACCTAAGCATTCATTTTCAGCAGCTGGTGTTAGGCGATTGTGACTATTGACCTTTATACCATTTCGAATGAATAAATGGGTGCATGTATACCCGAGTGCCACTATGGCAGGTGTTTCCTACATTATGATATTCGAACAATCATGGTATGGCGTTTGTAACAGACGAGCCTTATCTGTTAGGGGCGCTGACGGATCGTTTATCAGTACGAACGCTGTTCATATCACGGGTGACCATGGGCACGAGCCGATATGCCGCCAGTTGTGACTTGTGAGGGTGGTGACGCACAGTCAGCACCACAGCAACAGTGACAGTGTAGCCGTTATACTTTGTCCACCGTAGGTGTTGGTGCGCTGCCGACCATGGGTCCTGTGATCGTCGTGTTGACGTAGCACTTCTCTAGGGCTCTTTGTTCGACGTCACGGGACGTCTCCGAGAGATTTGCGCTCGCCAGCCGACATTTGGGGACGATGAGCGCCCGGGCAGGGTTCAGCAAGATTGCGGCAGGCGGCGGAAGCGCACCCACGAAACCAAGTAAGACAGCCAAAGTTCGTGAACTGGCGATCCACGTGGACACAAAGACCGACGCCACTCCTGATACGGTAGTCGTGCATGTGCAGTGCGACAAGGGACAGGTAGAGGTCACTGTTAAAAATCCTGAACAGAAGACGAAGCAGAAAAAAAGGAGGAAACGAAAATCCAAGAAAGGAGCTGGTGCAGCCACCGGCCAGACTAGAGACGAGAAAACAGGAGAGTGCTCCCCACTAGACGGTCGGGAGAAGGGAAACCCCAGCACTAGGGAGACAAAGGGCCGTAACATAAAAAAGCCAGCGGGTGCGGGAGCTAAAAAGTCAACAGGTGAAGGACAGGAAGGCAAGAAAACACCCGATTCAGACGGTCGGGACAACGAAAAACCCAGCGCTGGGAAGGCACGGGGTCGCACCAAGAAGCCAGCGGGAGCTCAAAAGTCAGCAGGCGAAGGACAGGAAGGCAAGAAAACTTCCGATTCATCCAAAAGTGGCGATGGCACCGAAACGTCGACCGAAGCCGGCGCCAAGCCAGATGAAACTGTGAGTGCTGGAGAGGCAAGTGTTCCCTTGGCGCAGCGCACAGAATTGTGCATTCGCAGCCACGATCCTCCGGATGATCTGGACGATGAGAAGCTGGAGGAAATGCTGCAGTCTATGCCGTCTTTAAGCAAGCTGAGCATAGATTGGCGCCATGACAAGAGGAAGCTGAACATCGACATAGTCAGTCAGCACTGCCGAAACTTGAAGGAGATCGACTTGAGCAAGTTCCGTCTCGATATCTGGTCTCTCGAGCAGCTTTGTGCTGCCTGCCCTGACCTGGAAGTGGTCAAACTGCCTAGGAAATGCGGTGACGAGCACGTGAAAGTGCTGAGTAAGCTTTCGCGTTTGCGGTCACTCGACTTGGCCCATACCCAAGTCACCAGCAGATTCTTAGAAACATTCGAGCAACCACTGGAGAAGTTATCGATGGCCGCCTGCCTGCGTTTGACGATACAAGATGTTGTGACAGCTGTCCACCCTACTGCTTCCAATGTGCTGTGGAATAATCTCCGGGAGTTGGATCTAAGCTGCTTGGCTGTAGGAACCGGGAACCTCGACGTTGTCCTCAAGCGTTGCCTTCGCCTGGAACGTCTGCTGGTGTCTGCCGCTGGGAACGTATCAGAGTGGCTGACGCAGCTAGGACATTGCACAGAGCTTCGCGAGCTAGAGTTTCTACCGCCTCTGATACCATTCGGGAGGAAGCGCACTCAAATCCTAGTCAAGTCTTCTGCGTTGGTGACTCTTCTTTCTGGCTGCCCAAAACTGAAACGGCTGTCGCTGGACAACTGCAAAATTGTAGGAGATTCGACCTGCTTGGAGTACTTGGGAAAGTGCACTGAGCTGCGTGAACTTAGTCTGGGGGGATTGGTCGTTGCAAATGGCTTCAATGCTCACCAATTGAATCCCGCAGATCTGGCCGCCGGGCTCAGTGGCTGCCCTTTGCTGGATCGTCTGGCAATAGTCAAAATACCCCATCCCATAGAGCAGCTCGTGGCTCCGACCGGTCTGCCGAAACTTACCTACCTGAACGCACATGGCACCGGGCTGACAAACAACTCTCTGCGCCGCCTCCCGCAGCTGTTCCCCCGCCTGAGCGCGCTCGACATGTCAGGCTGCACCTCTGTGAGCGAAGATGCTGTGGTGAGCTACCTGCCGCGACTGAAAGAGCTGCGTGCTCTCGACCTCACACGGACGCTCAAAGTGCCCCCAAGTGTCGTGGACAAGTTGAAGAGGAAATGTCCTCTCCTAAGGATAAGCTATGGCTAGACATTATCGTCAGCATACCAACCGGAGCCCAGCACTCGGCAGGCAGAAGCGGAAAGATTGAGCACGTACGAAGGCCTCTGGCCTATACATGGCAAGAGATTGCTGAAGCTGAAGCTGCTGAAGCGGTTGTGGTTGGTGGATGGGAAGAGGGGGAAGAGCCGGTACTGTGACGTTAGCTTGTCAGTCGCCAAGTCAGTCGCTATGTCAGTCTTATGTATATTGGGCCACCTATACATATATCCTCGGCCGGCTTTCCGCCAGCCGGCCGTTGCTAGGCAACCTAGGATAGATGGCGCCAGGCAGTGTGGCTAAATTCATTTTACGATAGGGGGAGGATGTAGAAAAAAGGCCAGAAAGGATGTCGTTATTTTCATAAAACTTGACTTCGACCCTTTTCAAGCACTTTTTATGTAACATGAAAATGATTTAAAATATTAAATGCTGATAAAACTCTGAAGGCATCCGAATGCTTTCTGATATTGGGGATGTTATAAATGAGTTTTTTAAGTCAGGTCACATATTTGAACATTTTGGTTATTCGAATGGTTGTCTTGGCGTGTTGTGAGAGGTTTGTGTTTCTCTTGGTCCTAGACGTTTGGGGTTCGCGTTTGTTATTATAAGTCGTGGCTGCCGTGTGGATGTTTTTATCTATATTTTTAGGATGTCGTTATACTTTTCATTATGGGTGGATTTCCCCGCAACATTACAATTTTGGACACACTGGCGCCAGGTGACGGGCTCAGGACATACGGCCCTAGACAACCCAAAGATAGAGGTCGCCAGGGCCAGGTGGGCGGACCCGAGGTACGGCCTAGTCTATGCAAGGTAACCCTCTCGCGCATAGAAGCACCGGAATGTCACTTGGAAATGGTCGCCACAGAGGGATGCTTTCCGAGACGTTCATAGGTATAGTCTTTTATTCGGCGCTTAGGTACAGTCCACAGCAGAAGTAATGTGGGGTTTCAGTCATGGGTATGTTCTGCTTCTGAAGCTTAGGAACGATTAGCCAGACTACAATGAAACTTTGAATGTAGCTTATATGTATCGTCACCCTTGCAGCTGCAACTTTAGCTATTGACATCTTCTTTTCGATCACTCCGCATTAAACAATCGCCAGTCAAAGCCAACCGTTGAGATTGGTAAAACCCTACATTACTTTAGCGGTGGGCTGTACCTACTAAACTTCATTGGAGGCAGTTCAAGGGTGAGGCTCCCAAAGGATGTTCCATGATCGTTGAGCTGTGCCTTTTAATACACTATACAGTGATTTATCGAGAGCTTCTCTGGTGCAGGAGACTGGATAGCATTTCAAAAGCGTTACACAACTTGAAATGCGACTAATGATTGTTGTAATGTGTGACCAAAGACCTTCGTTTTTTCACTTATGTATTATTATTGGTAACGAATGATCTGAGCGCTATTGCATAAACATAAGATTTACGCCACCGGAGTAGATCTTAACTTTTTTACGAAACGGCCATACTCTACGAAACACCGTAAAACCTGTTGCATAAAGGCCGTGACCTACTTCGTAAATATTTGGAAAATCTAGGTATGACGTCATACATGAATGAAAATAGTGCCGGATCTCAGCACGAAATGCAGAAGAATGGTGACAATAATGAAAGCGATTAAAGTTCCAGTGTACTGAAATGTGTGAATCACGTTGTCTGGATAAGTGGTTCAAATCACCTTGAATTGATAGCGGCTTTAGAAAACCTTTCGTACTTTTCAATATTCATGCGCCCTCCCACATCAAGCGGCGGTCGGCTTGGTAAACAACATCGATCGTGGCATCTTGGGAGTGTGGGATATTCTAAGATCATAGATAATTTGCCCTCACTATGGGTTTCAGTCGATATTCTACATAAATTTGCATAGAACTGAGTGCACTGTATCCGTCTAGAACAGTGCTGTAGCTGCTACTGCCACCTTTCGCCAATTAAGTAAGCTGAGATTTGTACACTCGCCGTCCGGTGGTTGCTAGGTAGGACACGAAAGTAAACAACATTCCAAAGAAGAATTTCAAGACAAGTGTCCAGCTTGGCTTGCAAGATCGAACAAGATCATCATTTGGTGGCTGAAAATGAAGAATTAAGATAACCAGGGCCCAGACTAACAAGTAAGTTTTCTATTATAGCGAATGGTTAGTGAACAATTGTCGGTTCATTGGCAGCACACTGCTCACTGCTCAGCCCTTTCAGACCAATCGTGAGCTTTTTCAATAGTTAATGGTTAAAGCTAATGCCGCTACAATTCCTGATCTATATTTTCTTTTGGTGTATTTTGAATTTGGCATCGTGTTTATTAGCCTCAGCCCTCAATTACTCGCAACATTCCAATGTTCTGTCGCTTTTTTCTTCACCATTATCTACAATTAGGTATGTTGAAATGCCATATCATATTGATATGGTGTCAGGTGTCTTCTCATTAAAATCATTTAAATATCCACAAAATTACGTTTAATTATATATTTGCAAGCAACATGCTTTCGCCAGTGGCGGTTCTTCCATTGAGGCACTTGAGGCAGTGCCTCACCAGCTTTTGGGTAAAAAAGCTTTTATTGGGTGTTGCTTCCTTAATTTCATTCATGGCTTAGGCCATATAGCTTCCATGAATCGGCACAGCAATGCTGCTACCTTGGATGCTTACCATGCTACATAATAGTTGCCAATTTGGTGGCCTAATGCTTTTGTATGGGAGAATCAAGTGAGGCACAGCCTTGCCGAAAATAGCCAAGATCGATTTATTGTGATTTTAAATATGAAACTGTAGATTATGTTCAGTATTTTTGGTAAGGTCTTACCGTGCTAGAAATGAAAAAATAATTTTATATTAAATAGTTAAGGGATTTGTCTTATTATGCCTTACTTTTTTTTTCTTAAAAAATGTTGAAAGTGCCAAAGGGAGCAGCGACCTCCGTTGGAAAAACTTGGGCTGTGAAACAGTGCCTCACAGCCTAAAGACTAAAAACCTAGGCGTTTTTGATATGGCACATCGGCAGCTCACTTAGATCGAGTACGTTTTTGGCGCGGTTACGACAATCAGTAATTCCATCGGTAAGCAATGCACAATGCCCCAATCATTGCAAGACATATCGTCACGTAAAGTGGGCCAAGGTGTCATGTATATTTTATTGCTATACAAAAGTAGTAGGAATATATTCCGCGGGTATTGTTGTACCTACTAAAGTTATAAGTCCATATACGAGTGCCTCACCTGAATTCTAACCCAAGCGCCGCCACTGGCTTTCGCGCGTTGAATTAGTAGGCACAAAACAGAATGCATTTAAGCTAGGTATTGCAAGATGAATGCCTACCTATTCGTCTGTGGGCTTGCGTGATATTTTTCAGTTTCAAACGTAGGTAAGCATTAAGGGCATATCAGCATAGCATCTAGATACCTACTGGACTATTCTGAATCTGCCAGTGAATTGCTGATTACTTTCAATTCACAGGCTTTAATTAAATGACATGGCTAATTAAATTTAATTAAATGGCACTGGCTAAAATTGGCTAATTAAATTTAATTAAATGCACTGGCTAAAACTGGCTTTAAAAAGTCAACTTTACCAGTATAGCAGGGCACAGTCACAGACCTTTATGCTTGCATTCAAAGAAGGCTGAGAGCGAGGAGATACATGGTGTCATAAAAAGTTCATTATTCGCTCGATTTACTTTTTCCGCCCCTGTTCTGTCTATATGTATCGCCTCTTTCCTGATTCCCTCAGTCCTCTCTCCTATTTCATGCTCTCTGTCAGCCACTTTGCCTTCGAAAATGATCTCCTCTCAATCCATTCGTTCTAGTCTTTCTGATACTTACCAACATCTTTATTTCTGTTTCAGGAATTTCTATCCGACTTCGTGGAGGAGTCTTCTGACCACGGCATTCGGCTGTTCTACATGAAGGTTGAAGAATCCCGCTGGGTTCAGCCGACAGAGGGCTCTGATAAATCGCCGATAGATGGCGGCTGCTACGCCAAGAGTCACTACCTTCGTTGAAATCGTCCTATCAGCAGCTTCTTATCCCGGTGTTGGCGCACTCGGGAAAAGTGAGGCTGTGCAAGCTCAGCATCATTTGTTCCCTTTTTTTAAAAAGCGCTCTTCGTGTTACGATTACAGTGACATGTCAAGTTTACGTGGGTCTCTAGCTCAACTTGAATCGCGGCCGTATTGGTGCACAGACGTTCTCTGAATACGTATGGTACATACGTGCTAGAATCTGAGGCGAGTGTGTTTGGATGTTCACTAAAATCGTCAACGGAATGTGGGAACCAGAAATAAACATCGACACGGCTGATATGTTTGATGACTAATGCGTCTGCAGTTCCTCAAACGAGCTACGAGCGTGGTCTAACGTCAGTCACCACCGTTGTAGTACAATTGTCGGGTACGACTATGCTTATATCATGCTATCGCATTGGTTGAGAAATGATGAGAGGTGCGGTTGCAGTCTTTCTATAAATTGTTCGAGGATAAGAAAGCATCAGTGTGTTAAGGAGTTACCTTCATATGCATTCATAACTGTATAAGGACTCAAAAAGTTGGAATTCGGCGTCAAACAGCTGCAATAGCCGACTTTCGGCTAAAATCTAAGAAGCCCACCCCCTCCGTAGAATATTTTACGATTTTTACACATTTGGCGCATCTGCGACATTTTCTGCGCGTTTCGGTGAACTACTTTTTCTTAAATCTTAACTTATATGCAACAGAAACCCCCAAAAGTTACGTCACGTGCTGGAGTAAATTCCTTGCTCTCCGTACTATTTTCAAGACCTTTGTGAAACAGATTGGCGTAGAATAAGTACGATTCTAAGACAATTCGTAAAATATCCGGTGTCGTAAGTTTTATGCAATAGCGCTCAGGCCTCAGTGTAGAAAAGAAAGGGTGTCAGGACAGTATCAGAGCACAAGGATGGCAGAACACAAGAGTTACACATGTGTATCCCCCTACACCCCTCCCCCGCCCCCTCCCAGCTTTCAACTTTAAAACTCAACACTGACGGCAGTGGAACAATTGTGCAAATACACATACGCACGTGGCATACGTGAACCAGCATTCACACAGCGTGCGAAGGTGGGCGCGGAATTGGAACAATGTCGATCCGTCGTGCACTAACAGGTCGGCAGGTCACCTAAGTATCAGGGCGGCAGGTCGCACCCGTATTCAGCGAGGTTGCTCGGCGGCCCGTACACACGCTTCGGGCACTTAGGAACGTTATAGGAGACGAAGCTCTGCCTGAGGCGGTCGGTCCTCGGGGATTCTACACTCTACAGGCTCGCCAGCGTACCAACGGAAGACTGGGCAGGACGTTTGGTGAATATTCGTCTGCGGAGGTCGACGACTGGCGGTCTCAGGGACGAGGGGCCCTGGCGGACCGGTCGGCGCGGCCCAAGTGCATCGCACAGCGTCTCAGCCCCTGATCCTCGTGCGGTGCCGCCAGTTCCGGAGATGTGCCTGGGGCGTGCATGAAAAGGGTTGCCGGTGGGCGGTGCCTCATGAGGTGCGGCGGTCAGAGATGGGGGCTCAGCTTAGAAGCAGGGAGAGGCGTGGCACTGCAGGTGGAGGGCGATGCAGGGCTTGTATGTGCCGCAAGTTCTGCCGGTTGCGCAAGATGATGCGGCCGGACACGTGCACCGTGACGAGATATTGGTCACGCGGCATCGTTTCCACCACCACGCCGGTGCGGCCCCATCGTTTGCCGTGTGGGCCAGACTGGTTCTGGAGAAGCACCGTGGCGCCGGGGACCACTGACCAGTGGTGGCAGTTGGCGAGTATGTGGAGTCAGTACGTCCACGTGCTTGGCGAAACGGAGTCGTAGGGCCTCCTCCTGAATTCCTGATGTGCCCATGCCTTGCGGCTTGCGTCAATCTACCACTGCCTCTAAATCGTTATCCATGCTCACCTTCCGACCTGAGAATATGGTGACATGTTAATTGCTTGCGGTTAGTTTAGCTGTAAAGTAGTTGATGCCTGTTGAGTCATTTATGAAACATGAAATAAGTGGCAAATATACCGTATACCTTTTGTATAAGAGGCCCCTTATGTGCTCAAACAAATGTTAAAAACAGTTATCCTAATTTCGTAGCATTGTTCCGTTAATTCGGGGACAGGACTATTCCACTGCAAGCCCTTCGCTATCCCCTACTTCAACAGCATATTTACGTCTGGACAACGAGTTGCGTTGGAGAGGCCGGAAATAGTGGCGATTTCAGGACCGCAAGAATGGACCGTCATTGAAATGATTCTTTTTTAAACCGTGCACTGTTTTCGGCCGGAATTTAATAGTTACTACAAAATATTTTGTAATTACGTTTCCACCAAGAATGAATGCCATCAGGGCTAAATTTTTAATACTATTGCATATTGTCAAGAAGCATATAGTGCTGTTATATTGCAGTTTAAGCGCGTTTGTTACAAAATATGAAGCGAATAAGCGTCAGTGTAATTCATCAACAGTGCCAGAAGTTAACTTGAGGGAAAGCTATTATGCTAATTGCTCTTGTCCGTCCACTAAAATTTATTAAATATTTTGCTTTGTGTATTCCAAAAGGAGAGGGAACTATTTCATTTGTGCCTTCATGTCAGAATTGAAGGTGGATCATTAAATTTTCAACGCAGTTTACAAACAAGCATTTGGTCTTTCTCGTTTATAAGCAGTGGCTAAGAAAAGGTTGATCAATCCTGAAGTTCAGTCATCGCAAGGCAGTCATCGTACCTCAACTTGGCAGCAAGATCCCCCAAGGACAGAGGATATATTGTATACATGTCCTGTAAATCAAAACAAACAAGCATTTGGTCTTTCTCGTATATAAGTAGTAGCTAAGAAAAGGTTGATCAATCCTGAAGTTCAGTCACCATACCTCAACTTGGCAGCAAGATCCCCCAAGGACAGAGGATATATTGTAAACCTGTCCTGTTAATCAAAACATTTTTGTGCCTTCAAAGGCTTAAGTTATCTGTGGTGTGTTCGGAGTTAGGCTATATGGCCGTTTTTGTTGTATGTTTATGTGGAGATTGAATATAACTGTGACCATGTGCTCAGGGCCTCCTCTAACATACCCACTGGGTGGGCAAATGCCCACCCAGTCACCACAATTGCCCACCCAGTGGCGTCGATTTGCCCACCCAGAAGTGAGAAGCAAATGCAAAAATTCTGGTCCGGCCGGACGTCCGGTACTACCTTTCTGGTCTTAAGCAAACTGGAGGCTGTTTGAAGGTCAAAAAAAAAAGTTTTCTGGTTGCCCGATATTCAGGGGCGTAGTCAGAATTTCCTCAAGGAGGGGGCCAAACGCACAGGGGCCCAAAATAACCCCCTAAAAATCCAAAAAGCCATCTGGTTGGATCCAATATTTTTTTTGGAGGGGGCCCAAATAAATAGAAAAATATTTATTAACAAAAAATATTAGAACTGAGGGGGTAAGCAGTCCATGGGCCCTGTTAGATAGGCCCACGAATAGCTTCATAGAGTCGCCAGTCGGTTTTGAGGGCGGTCTGAGGGCCCGTAGGTCGGATAAGGGTTCTTCAGACCGTCACAGGCCCCTACAGCGCATGAGAGCCTCGTAAGCCGTCTGAGGGTCATATAAGCCGCCTAAGGGCCACTAAGACCGACAAAAGCCCTCCTTGCACTTGCAGATGCCCAGTCATGCCGACGGAGGGCTCTCTCAGACAAACTAAGGACCCGTTCAGGTCATTTGAGTGCCTCCTCAAACCGATAGGGGCCCCTCAGATCGACAATGGATCCGATCCGAGCTCCCTCAAACCGATATAGGGTCAGACCAACAGTCGGAACGCATTGATTCTGTTTACACACCGTTGGACCCAAGTTGGACCCATCCCATCCAACTGGCCCCCTGGTTTCAATAGGGCCCCAAGGCTCTAAAATTGGGGCTCTCTTGGCCAAAGTATAACTACTCAGCTGTGTCAAAGGATCTGCTGCAGGGGCCTTTGCGTCACCAAGGGCCCACTGTGTCAGCCAGGGCCCCTATAGAATAAGGACCCCTGGCTTCCAGGGGGGGGCATGGTCCCTTTGGCCCCCTCCTTGGCTATGCCACTGCAGGTGACAAGCGTTCTTCCAGGCGACCAGGGGGCAGGGGCCAGGCGACCAGGCCCCCAGGCGACTAGCCCCCAAGCGACCGGGGCCCTCTAGGCGACCAGGGGCCCCAGGAAACCGGGGGTCATCGGATGAGTGCAGGGGCCCATTGGGTCATCAGAGGGCCACAGAAATGAAACTTCGATATCAATTTTCTTCCGAGTAAAAGACGTTTTATCCAGTGTTTGAAAAAAAATATCCCGGGGCCTGAGGGGCTCCCCCATGGCGCGTTTTGCGCTCAAGGGAGGGGGCCATTGCCCCCGTGGCCCCTCCCCCTTGGCTACGCCCCTGCCGATATTGTTATTCATGGACAAAGCCAGCTAAATCCCTAAATACGGCTGAGCTAAACAAATAAGCAAGAATTATTACCGGTTCGGGTAGCCTTTACTACAATGTATTATGTTAGTTAGCCCTCGCCCGGTGAGGGGGGTTGATGCACCCCCCTAAGGTTTTTCACAAATAACGTAAAAACGGCGGCGCTCAAATTTAGCATACCCTCTGGGCCTCTGGGGCAACCTTTTGGCACTTGTCCTAAAAATTTCAGGTCTCTAGTCTTTTCAGGTCAGGTCACCAGGTCCCAAACCCCGTACAAGGTCAGGGGAAAATTGGACTATGTAGTTTAGCGGCAACCGAATGCCAGAGTTTTTCGTTGATAGCGTGAGTTCTATAGCACGTAGCGCTACCAAATTTAACCCTCGCATGTGTAGGGGGGTCGGATGGACCCCCCATGGTTTTTCGCGAATAACTCGCGTAAAAAGCGGCCGATCGCAATGAAACTTTCAGTACCCTCGCATTGATCAATTTTACACCTACCCTGAAAATTTCATGACCCTGACCCAAATGACCTTTGACCTGTGACCTCTTTTCCGAGACCATGTTTGGCCGGAATCGCGATTCCGCGTATGTCGGCTCGCATTAGCCGCGCGTTTGCAAGCTTTTCGTGGTTTCAAACGTTCAAACATATGATTTGATGTTGCTCCCATGCATTAGGGTGGGTGTCAAGGTCACCTGAAGGTCAGGTCAGGTCATTGACCTTTGGTGACCTCGGGTGACCTCGGTTCACTTTTTCGAGTTTTACATGTTTCTAGGCTAGTTTGTGGAGCTGAATTCCAATTTAGCAACCATTTGAACATTTACGAAGTAGTTTTGGTGCCTTCGTAACATGTTACGAAGCTGTCAGAGGCGGTTGACAGGTACTACGAAC